TCACGCTGGGGGCCTCTTCACCCTGGCTGGGGGCCTCTGGGACTCTCCTGGAAGCTTTTTGGGCCGTCTTGGAAGCCATCTGGGGCCTTCTCAGGCGATCAGGAGGCCCCGAAAAGTCCGTGGCGTGAAAATCTTCACGCCGGGGGCCCCTCGGGCCTGGGTGGGGGCCTCTGGGGCTGTCCTGGTAGCCTTTTGGGCCGTCTCGGAGGCCATCCGGGGCCTGCTTGGGCGATCCGGAGGCCCCAAAAGGCACCCGGCGTGAAGATCTTCAGTGAAGATCTTCACGTTGACGGCCTCTTGGGCCTGGCCGGGAGCCTCTGAGGCAGTCCAGGGAGCCTTTTGGGCCGTCTTGGAACCCATCTGGGGCCTTTTGTCGGGCGATCTCGAGGCCCGAAAAGGCCACTTGCGTGAAGATCTTCAATGAAAATCTTTACGCTGAGAGCCTCTTGAGCCAGGCTGGGGGCCTCTGGGAGTTTCCTGGAAGCCTTTGGCGCCGTCTTGGAGGCCATCTGGGGCCTTCTTGGGAGATCTGGAGGCCTCCGCGGGCCGCCTGGGACAGCTTTGTCTGCGCGCGGGCATCCGTCAAGGGCTCTCAGGGGCCGTGCAGGATCGAGGTTGCAAGGCCGGCAGTGGGCCGTTCTGTACTGGATTTCTGCCTCTTCTGCTTCCTCCTCCTCCTCCTCCTCTTCCTCATCCCGCTGCGCGTCTTTCCCGCCGACCCCACACTGTCATCCGCAACTGTGTGGGTTCACAAGTATAGCCCTTTGCACCCCTCAACGTGGCACCCAACCCCTCCCCGCCTCAAGTGGAGTACAAAACGGCCGCATGTGAAAGCACAGAAAGTTCTTATTAAGAACCGACCACTTAGAAGAAACAACACAGAACGGTCATTTATTAAGGGGAAAACCGACTTCTTAATAAGAAACCAGAAATTTCTTATTAAGGACACTTTTTCCCCTCACCCACTCACTGAGAGCAGCGCCCGAGAGTGTGGCCAGATGCGTGCAACACAGGAAGCACGCCCTGCAATGTCCCCCAGGGGCCGAAAACAGGTGGGAGAGGAGGGGGAGGAAGAGGAGGCCGATTCCCATGTGTCGGACACGGTGCGGGACGCCAATCCGCCCGTCAACCGAAGCCGACCGGCGGAAACCGTGACGCCCGCCCCGGGGGCTGAGTCAAATGGCGAGGCATCTCTGCGGGTCGCCAATCCGCCCGCGCAGACTCCGTGACATTTGATTCGCCCCCCGGGGCCTCCCAATTTCCACCGATCGGCAATGGTTGACGGGCGGACTAGCTTCCCGCGCCCCGTCCGTGACATTCGAATCGGCCATCGGACTGTCACGGTTTCCGCCGGCCGCCTCTGGCAAGGAGGGGCAGGGGCTGCGGGGCGGGTGGCCAGGGCGACCCTTGCACACATGCAACTGCTGTCTGGGGGAGGGGGGTCAAAGAATCCGTACCTTAGTGACCCCGCCGCGCAACTTGCTCGGGGTTCCCCCACAGGTCCCCCAAAAGTGGCCATAGCCCCCTCCAAAGAGCCCCGTCGGACGCAGCATGGCTCCAAGACGGCCTCCGCGGTAGCTCCGCAGCGCCCTCCCGAATACCACGGAGGGAATGAGAGGGGAGGGAGAAGAGGAGGAGGGAGGCGGAGGAAGAGATAAGGGGACAATGGAGGTACAGTGGAGGAGGGAATTGGAGGCGGAGGGAAAATGGAAGCAGACGGGCGGAGGGAGGAGGGAGGATGAGGGAGGTAGAGTGCAGGAGGGAACAGGGAGGGGGAGGGGAGGGTCTGGGGAGAAGAAGGCCCAAGTTTTGGATGCAATCCCGTAAGGATGCGCCCCCATCCCTCCCCTCGGACTGTTGGTGCCTGCGGTGGGAATGGTTGGGGTGGCCAAAGAAACGAAACTCGGAAGCCCAGGCAGGAGCAATTCTGAGGAATGGTTTCGGGCGCCCCGAAAGGACACCGCAGGCGGCCCGAATGCCAGGACGTTGTTGGGGTACACGAATGCGAAATTGCTCCTGGCTTTGTAGCCCACGCGCGAAGCGTCGGTCCCAAAAGAATAGACCTGCTGGAATTGAGCCGCCTCAGCCCGACAAGCAGCGACGTACCGGCAGAGGTCCTGGTGCCGCTGGTACGCGCTGAGGCCCGCGAAAGGCGCCACGGTCAAAAACGGGACCTTCTGACCGTTCAAGAGAGACCCAGCCGCGTCGTCCAGGAAAGCTTCAAGCACGACCCCCGCGTGCCGCAAAATCTGCACGATGACAGACCTGGCCAAGCAGCAACTCGGAACACGGGCTAACTTTTCCAGCAAATTGATGAGAGTACCAGATCCGGTCCAATATTGTGAATTCAAAAGCGAATTCGCTCGGGTGTGCTCAAGTGCCCAGGCGTGGAACTCCTCAAAATCGACTGCCCCGTCGGCCACGACGAAGCTGCGCCAATTGGCATCGTCGTCGGAGGAAACAAGGCGCCCGTGCTCGCCATATTCGTGGTCAGGCTCGGCGGACAACAGGATTTCCGAGAGCATGGGGCTGCAGAGCCGCAGAATGCCATCCAAAATGGTCTTGCAATTGGCTGCGGCGTCTCTGCTTTTGCATCCTCCTTGGAGCGGCTCGTTGAAAGCCATCCGCTGCAAGATGATCAAAAGGCTGCCCGTGCAAATGGAAGCGTGTCTCAAGACGCGCCCAGCCCTGATTTCATCATCGGTGGGGCCGTCCAGCTTGCTATCGGAAGGCCGCTGAGGCCTCGCTTTCCGCACTTGGGGCACGCCGAGTCTCCCCAACAGCGGCTGCCACGAACGCATGCGGTCGCCAAGCACTAGATGAACCTCCTTCTTTCGTTTCCCCTGTGCCTCTGGCAGCAGGGTGGCGCGCAGAATTGGCGGAAGCTTCCACCACCAATGCTGCCCGCAAGCGCCTTCGGTGAAACAGTACAAATCCACTTTCAGAGAGCCCGCCCCCCCAGGAAGGTACAGAGCTAGAGTGAATCTGCGATGCATGACAGAAAAATCAGACGCTGTCATGAAACGCTGAGCGTGGGCATCGAAGACCCGATCAGACAGGCCTTGTGAGTCTCTGTAATAAGCATACCGGAGATAATTTTGGGCATAAGTGGATGGCGCCTCTGGATCGTCGCTCACCTGAACAACTAAGCCGATGTTCTCGTCAAGTGCGAGCTCCATCGAGCATGTCTCTGCGATATTCTTCACCTCGCCAGTCAAAGCGTGGTGAAGCCACTGCGTACCATCCAGGTCCGTTTGCAATGATATACCGCTCGTGTCCAACTGGCGGCGATCTCTGTCGCTGGCTGACATGAAGCCCCGCCTCCCCCCCGCTACGAGGGCACTGGCAGAGAAGCCGTGCGGTCCGCGCCCTCAGAAGGTTCAGGCCGACATGGCTCCATGCCCGAACACATCTGCATCGATGGCGACGTCGTGGCCGCGGGAGCGGAACGGTGATTGCAACAACAATAACAACAATTGAGAGGGTGCTCCCGGTGGCGCTGGCGCGACTCCAACGACACGAGAGACCCCGTCGCAGCGATTGCGGCGCAGATGCGATGGACAGGGGGGCTCAACAGGTAATGCGTGTACTGGTCCTGCGGACCCCGACGGCTTAACTGATCAATGGGCTGCGGAATTCCATTGCCCATGACTTGGGCAATCCAAGCTGTTGAGTTGCTCCGCCACTTGATGTGGCATGCACCCGCGCCTGTACCATGGCATGACTGACAGGCGAACTACCCCCGCCCCCCAGGTGTCAAACAGATACGATTCACTGCGCTGGCCGCCCACTCGCCCACTACTGGTCCGGAGGAAGGGCAGGGGTTGGCGACGAGAGGGAAACGAGGAAGAGGGGGAAAGTAAATGATACGCGAGCGGGGAAGCAGAGGGAAGGGAGAGAAGGGGGGAGGAGGAGGAGGAGGAGGGCGAAGAAAAAAGTAGGAAGGACTGAAGGGGCAGGGGCAGGATGAGGAGAGACAAGGGACAGCGTAGAACGGCGCGGGGAAGAGTGAGGGAGGGCGCGGAGTATCACGCTCAAGCGAAAGCTCAAACGCCAGCGGGTCGCAACTTCGACTCCGATACCGAGGGCCATTCAGCAGAGCTTACGGCCATGAAGTGGGAAATGCTAAATCCCCTGTTCCCCCCGCCCTCTCCGCTCTTCTATTTCCCCCCCCCTGCCCGAGCCCGGGGCTATTGTCCGTTTTCGCCTGCAATGCCCAGTCCCCTGGTTGGGTTCTAGTTTGCCAAGGGTACCCGCGTGCTCACCCTTTACCCTGATGCCTCGCGCCACGCACGAATAACATACCCCGAGAGAGATAACACTCCACGTAGCCACGCGGGCCCGAAGGGGGAGATGGGAGCGAGCTGTCGGGAGAGCGTTGGCAGGGGGATGGGAGTTTTGAAGCTCACGTTTATGGGCCAAGGGGGTTGGTCGATTCGCGTCGGCCGCACAAGGCGGCGACCGTTTAGATTGCCACGGCACTGTCGTTTAGGAATTCCGGTGGGTATATCTGGTCGTGAGAGAGAGTGGAGTCGGGAACTCGCGTGAAGCTCGCGTGGGGCTCCCGTGGGGCTCGCGTGGGGCTCCCGTGGGGCTCGCGTGGGGCTCGCGTGGGACTCGCGCGGGGCTCCCGTGGGGGTCGCGCGAAGCTCGCGTGGGGCTCGCATCAGATTTGCACGGGGCTCTCACGGGGCTGGCGCGGGGCTCGCCGCAGAGCGTATTCGCTTTCCTCACGCTCGTCGTCGCCCCCACAACGTCCTCGTCAATGTTGTTGCACTCGCCCTCGCCGTTGATTTTTTCTTCTTCGTAGTCGTCGCCGTCGTTATCGTAATAGTCCTCAGTATCGTAGGCGATCGTCGTCCTCAAACCTGCCCTCGCGACCATCCTCATAACCGCATTATGGCTCGCCGCCGCCACCGTTCGCTAGGGGAGGAAGCGGGGAAGAACCTCTTGGGGGGAATGGGGACACCATGCGAGAAGGGATTAACGGGGAGGGGAGGAGGGATTAACGGGAAATGTGGGCTCGCGTCGGAGAAACTCCGTCGGAAGATAAATCGCACGTCCCCTGGCTACTATTTCATGCGGAGAAGGGGTGGTGATGACTAGCAGGATGGTGATCACGATGAGGACGATCGAGTTTTTCCCTGTTTGGTCTGACGTAGCGTTCAAAAGGTCCCCTGCGATCTGAGCCCGGCCTCCCACAGGCACTAAGCCAACACGTAGTGCGTACAATTTGCATTGCGAAGCCGAACAAATGAAGGCTCTAGCATAGAGAGCCCCCACTTACCCCCGAATAGTTTGCAAGCTGACCTGCACCCGAAAAACAGCCGTTAAAGTCGGCTCGGCAACGGCACGCGCAGGCAAGCTCTCGCGCGGCCGTGCGCGCACACCGCGAAATCACGCAGAGAACGGGACCGCAAGTTTAGCAAGCGGAACGCGCGCTTTGGCGACCGCCTTCGCCTTCGCGGCCTTGGCCGCCGATTTGGAGCTCAAGACCACTGTCTTCTTCTTCGGGGTGAGGAGTGCTGCGTTGGCAGACACCACAGTGTCCGCCAAAGTCGACAGCACCTTCTTGTCGAGATGCGCCATGAACGGGGGGTCATTGAAGAGCTCGTGAACGCAAGGTTTCCACCTGGTGGTGCCGACGAACTTAGCATTTGCATCGCTCCACGGCGAAGTGCATTTGAAACCCTTGTCGATGCGGAGGGGGAGGTTCTTCGCCTGCGCCGAGACTCGGGAACCCGCCGAACCTGTTTTGAAAAGGACGTCAGACGGCATGCAGGGGGTCGGCAAGAGGGCAAGGCATGGGGGAGGAGGACAAGCAAAACCCCAGGGGCAGATTGAACGAGGCCGGCTGGGGTTGCGAACACCCCGCGGGGAATAAGGATCTGGCGCAAAAATAACGCCAATGCAAGAGGGCGCAGGACAAGATGTGGCGCATGAGTACCCCCTCCCCCTATTCGATAATGGGGCGGCCCCCCGAGCAACGACAGAAATATTCAAAATGCGGGCAGGCAGGCTCGGCGGGATCGCGCCTCGATCGAAGTGCCCTTGTGCACGATCCGCTCGAGCACAGGCTCCGCCTCCCCGACCGCGGCACCGAAAAAGTACTCGAAGGGGCCGTGCTTCACGAAATCCACGGAGCCATCCTGGCCGATCTTTGCCTTGAACTGCTCCTGCCGGTTGCCCATTTTCTCCGCCATCGCGATGGCGAAAAGGTACAGCACCCGCTTCTGCAAGCACGGCCTCGGCCAATACTGGCCGTCGCCCAGCCCCGTGATGTACGTGAAGGTAGGTTTCACCGTGTTGGCCACGTCCATTTTGTCCAAAAGCGACTGGGGGTACCCCAACCATTCGTGCAGGAAGTCCGCACACCACCAAGCCGGCAACTGCCCGAAGTGCATGTACGAATCGGGGAAGTACGGACGATCTTTTATGTCAAGCTGCTGGTCTTCAACCTGGCAGTCGACCTGGCCAGACTCAAGGTTGGCCTTGGTCTGCAATATCTGCGCGCGGTGGGTGGCCAAGTAGTCGTTGATCCATTGCAATGCGATTTTATCTGTCTGCGAAAGAGACTTCCGAGCACGAGTGAGGGCCGCCTTGTCAACGACCTTGCCGTCCTTGGTGACCCTGGAGTCCCCCTTTATGAAGCGCATCTTCGACTGAGCGGCCATCGGTGGTTGTTTCCCTGCTGGGTGTTACTGGAGCAGTAAATCACAATGCCTGCGCACCTGCGTCTGCCAACCTGAAACAGCTATGCGAATTATAACGGCAATCGCAGTGACGATGGCAGTTTAAACATCGACGTGGCGACGACAGAGAAAGTGACGACCCCCTACTTCGCATTCACACGGGGGAAGGCGTCGCCGCTGCAACCCTCGGTCACTTCGGACCCTGGAGCAATTGGCCAGGGCGAGGGAGGGGAACGGATAATATAGAGGGATGAGGGCAAGGACAATGATAAACGAAAACAAGGAATGAGGGAGCAAGTCGGATTGACAAGAGAGGGCTGGAAATGATGATGAACCATGATGGGTCCGGATGGGATGATGCATGATATTTCTGTTTGAGCCAAACGGACACAATCATTGCACGCCTAGAACGTTGGATCACTGAGCTAATTCAAAAAACGCGCGCTGTAGCGCGGACCTTTGGCATTGAATGCACGGGCCGCGGCAACTCCCCGACGGGCTGGGTCGACCCGTCGCGGCGAAGACGCCAGCGCAAGGAAACGCCGTTGGCACCGACGCCCATTTCATCGCCAAGTGAATCGCTGGGATCTGCGAATGTCCTAAATGCCCTAAACGAGAGCGCCGCCAAACCCCGAAAAGCTTTACATCGCAGGCCCCTCGCCCCTCGGCGGCGCTCCGCGCGCGCAGGGAGGCGTCGCAGATAATGCGTGCAGCATGGTCGCGCACAAGGCGCTCTCCCACACTAACCAGGTCCAATCGGAGATACAAGCTCAATGGGGGCACAGAATTTGCCAATCCACGACCAAGCCGCCAAAATTATACGACGGCAACGCCACTGGGCCGGCGTGGCCCCCGCCACGGGAAGTCTCTGCCAAACCTACCTGTATCAAACTCGTCTGCGATGTAAGGAAGGGCACCAACGGCGCCACCGTTATGGTCTGCGGCTACGCTAGACGGAAGCAATCACACAACAACGGTGAGAGCACCGCCGTCGCCATGAATTCCACGCGCAGAATTGTGTTTCCAAATCTTTTTCGATGTAAGAGCGCGTACGCGGTCGATTCATAAGTGGTCATCACCCGCGATCCACCCGCGACCCACCCGCGAGTCGCCCCGCGAGCCACCCGCGAACCACCCGCGGGCCACCCCGAGACCCAACCCGCGACTCACCCCGCAACACACCCGCGACCCACCCCGCGACTCACCGGCGACCCGCGACCCACCCTAAAACCCACCCGCGACCCATCCCGCGACCCACCCGCGAGCCACCCGCGACACACGCCCCGGACCCACCCAAGACCAACCCCGCGACCCATCCGCGACCCACCCGAGACCCACCCGCGACCCACCCGCCACCAACCAACGACTCACCCGCGACCCACCCGCGACCTACCCGCGACCCACCCGCGACCCACCGCGACACGCCCACCACCCACCCGCGACCCACCCGCAACCCACCCGCAAACCACTCCGAAACACACGCGCGACCCACCCGCGACCCACCCGCGACCCACCCGCGACGCACCTGCGGCACATCGGCGACCCACCCGCGATCCAACCCGCGACCCACCCCGCCTGCGACCCACCCACGAACCACCTGAACCCACACCGCCTGTGACCCGCCCGCAAAACACCCTGAAACCCACCCCGCGACCACCCCGCGATCCACCCGCGCCCCATCTGCGACCAAACCCGCCGCCCACCCGCGACCCACCCGATGCTCGCCCCGCGACCCTGCCGCGACTCACCCGCGACCCACCCGCGACTCGCCCGCGACCCACCCCGCGACCCACCCGCGACTCGCGACCCACCCGCGGAAAATCACGCGACCACCCGCCACTCACCTGCGACTCGCCCGCAAGCCACCCGACCCAACCCGCGACTCACCCGCGACCCACCAGCGACCCACCCCGCGACCCACCGGCTAATGACCCACCCGCGAACCACCCGCGACCCACCCGCGCGCGACTCACCCGCGACCCAACCCGCGACCCACCCGCGACCCACCCGCGAGTCACCCGCCTCCCACCCGCGACCCACCCGCGACCCGCGCCGCACCCCACCCCGCGACCCACCGTCGACCAACCCCGCGACCCACCGGGATTTACCCTGCGACCCACCCCGCAACCCGCCCAAGACTCCGCGACCCACCCGCGACTCACCCGCGACCCACCAGCGACCCACCCGCGACCCACCCACCACCCCACCCGCGACTCACCCGCGAACCACCCGCGACCCACCGCGAACCACCCTGAAAACCCACCCCGCGACCCACCCGCGAACCACCCGCGACCCACCCGCGACCACCCGCCACCCACCCGCGACCCACTCTAAAACCCACCCGCGACCCACCCGCGACCACCGCGACAACCCCGCCACCCACCCGGGAACTCACCACGCGACCCTCTCGTGACCCACTCGCGACCCACCCACCGCGACCCACCCTGACCCTGCGACCCACCAAGCGACCCACCCGCGACCCACCCGGGACTCATCCGCGACCCAGTCCCGACCCACCGAAGACCCACCCGACACACCCGGTCACCCGCGACCCACCCGCCACCCACCCGCCGCCCACCCGCGACCCACCCTGCGACCTTCCCGCGAACCACCCCGTGACCCCCCTGCGACCCATCCCGCAATCCTCCCGCGACCCACCCGCGACCCACCCACGACCCACCCACCCGCGACCGACCCGCCACCAACCCCGCGACCCACCCCGCCCTTGCGACCCACCCGCCGAACCACCCACGGACCACCCGCACCCGCCACCCACCCGCGACCACTACCAGCAACCCACCCGAAAACCATCCGAAACACACGCGCGACCCATCCGCGGACCACCCGAACCACCCGCGGACCCCCACCGCGAACCACAACGACCCACCCGAAAATCCAACCCGCGACCCACCTGCGACCCATGCGACCCATCGCGACCCCTCCGCGAACCAGTCTGACACCCACCCGCGACCCACCCGCCTCTCACCGCGACCCACCCGCGGACCCATCCGCGCCCACCGCGACTCACCCGCGAACCACCCCCCGACCCACCGCGACCCACCCCGACCTGCGCCGCGACCCACCCGGCGACCCAGCCCGCGGCCACCCCTGCGACACACCCGGGACTCACCCGCGGACCACCGCGACCCACCCCGCGACCACCCACCCGCGACCCACCCGCGACCTCACCCGCGACCACCCGCGACTCACCCGCGACCCACCCGCGACACCGCGCCTCTACCCACCGCGACCACCCGCGAACCCATTCTGAACCAACCCACCCGCGACCCACCCGCGAGTCACCCGCCTCCCACCAACGACTCACCCGCGACCCACCCGCGACCTACCCGCGAGTCGCCCGCGAGTCACCCGCCAGTCACCCGCGACCCACCCGCCACCCACCCGCGAACCTCCCGGGACCCACCCGCAACCCACCCGCAAACCACCCCGAAACACACACGCGACCCACCCACGACCAACCCGCGACACACCTGGGACACATCGGCGACCCACCCGCGATCCAACCCGCGACCCACCCCGCCTGCGACCCACCCACGAACCACCTGAACCCACACCGCCTGTGACCCACCCGCGAACCATCCTGAAACCCACCGCTCGACCCACCCGCGACCCAGCCGCGAACCATCCGCGACCCACTCCGCGACCCACCCGCGACTCACCCACGACTCACCCGCGACCCACCCGCGCCTCGCCCGCGACCGACCCACCTGCTACTCACCCGCGACCCACCCCGCGACCCACCCGCGACCCGCGACGCGACCCACCCCTCCACGCACCCCGCGACCCACCTGGGACACACCCCACAAACCTGCCGCGACCCACCCCGCGATTCACCTGCGACGTGCGACCCACCCCGCGACCCGCCCCGCGACCCACCCGCGACCCACCCGCGACCCACCCGCGACAAATCCCGCGACCCACCGGCCACTCACCTGCACCTCACCCGCAAGCCACCCGACCCACCGCCGACTCGCCCGCGACCCACCTGCGACCCACCCCGCGAACTCACCCGTAATGACCCACCCGCCTCACCCGCGACCCGACCCACCGCGACCCACCCCGCCACCCACCCGCCGCGCGACTACCCGTTCCCACCCGCGACACCGCACCCCCGCGACCCAAACTAAAACCCACCCGCGACACACCCGCGACTCACACCGCGACCAAACCGCGACCCAAACTGAAACCCACCCGCGACACACCGCGACTCACCCGCGACCCACCCGCGACCCACCCGCGACCCACCCGTACGCGACTCACCCGCGACCCACCCCGCGACCCACCCGCGACCCACGCGCGACCCGCGCCGCACCCCACCCCGCGACCCACCGTCGCCCAACCCCTCGACCCACCGGGATTCACCCCGCGACCCACCCCGCAACACGCCCAGGACTCCGCGACCCACCCGCGACTCACCCCGCGACCCACCCGCGACCCACCCGCCACCCACCCGCGACTCTCCCGCGAACCAACCCGCGACCCACTGGCGACCCACCCGCGAACCGCCCGCGACCCACCCGCGACCCCACCGCGACCACCCCCGACCCACCCGCGACGACACACCCGCGACCCACCCCGCGACCCTCCCGCGACCGACCCGCGACCAAACCGTCGAGCCACCGCGACCCCCCCGCGACCAACCCGCCACTCACCCGGAACTCACACGCGACACTCTCGCGACCCACCCGCGACCCACCCGCAACCCACCCTGCGACCCACCCAGCGACCCACCCGCGACCCACACAGGTCACCCGCGACCCAGTCCCCGACCCACCCCAAAACCCACCCGATCACCGCGACCACCCACCGCCCACCCGCGACTCACCCGCGACCCACCCTGCGACCCTTTCCCCGCGAACCACTCCGTGACCCACCCGCGACCCATCCCGCGACCCGCGAACCACCCACGACCCACCCGCAACCCACCCACCCGCGACCAACCCGCCACCAACCCCGCGACCCACACCGCGACCCACCCGGACCCACCCACAAACCCACCGCGACCCCCCGCGCTCACCCGCGACCCCACCCGCGACCACCCGC